TGAGGAATGGCAAGAAAGAATCAATGAGAAGTCCCCAGACATCATAGCAGTTACAGAAACAAAACTCATGGAGACAATAACAGATGCAGTCTTCCCACCAGGATACCAGATCATGAGGAAAGATAGAAGGGGCAGGGGGGGAGGTGGGGTTGCTCTGCTCATAAAAAACAGATGGAAATTCGAGAAAATGGAAGGAATAGATGAGACGGGAGAAAGAGACTACATAGCAGGTACACTTCAGTCTGGGGAACACAAAGTGGTCATTGCAGTGATGTATAATCCACCACAGAACTGCAGGAGGCCAACAGAGGAATATGAAGAGAGCAATAGAGCAATGGTGGACACACTTGCTGAGGTGGCAAGAAGAGCTCACTCCAGCAGAGCAAAGTTGCTGGTTATGGGGGATTTCAACCACAGGGAGATTGACTGGGAAAACCTGGAGCCACATGGGGGTCCCGAAACATGGAGAGCCAGGATGTTGGACGTGGTGCTGGAAAACCTCATGCACCAACATGTTAAGGACACTACCAGAGTGAGAGGGGAGGATGAACCAGCAAGATTGGACCTTGTGTTCACCCTGGGCAGCTCAGATATTGAGGACATCAAGTATGAGAGTCCCCTAGGAGCTAGCGACCACGTGGTTCTGTGCTTTGAATACACAGTAGAACTGCAAGTGGAGAGAATAACAGGAGTTGAATGGGAAAAGCCTGACTATAAAAGAGGGGACTACATAGGGTTGAAGAACTTCCTGCGGGAGGTCCAGTGGGACAGTGAACTGGCAGGAAAGCCAGTAAATGAAATGATGGAATATGTAACAACAAAATGCAAGGAGGCAGTGGAAAGGTTTATTCCCAAGGGCAACAGTAACAATGGGAAGACCAGAACGAGCCCCTGGTTTACCCGACGGTGTAAGGAGGCAAAAACAAAATGCAATAGAGAATGGAAAAAGTACAGAAGGCAGAGAACACACGAAAATAGGGAGATCAGTCGCAGAGCCAGGAATGAGTACGCACAGGTAAGGAGGGAGGCCCAGCGACAGTATGAAAATGACATAGCATCGAAAATCAAGACTGACCCAAAACTGTTGTATAGCCACATCAGGAGGAAGACAACAGTCAAAGACCAGGTGATCAGATTAAGGACAGAAGGTGGAGAACTCACAAGAAATGATCAGGAGGTATGTGAGGAGCTGAACAGGAGATTTAAGGAAGTTTTTACAGTAGAGACAGGAAGGGCTGTGGGAAGACAGCACAGAAGGGAACATCAAGAGGGAATATACCAACAAGTGTTGGATGACATACGAACAACTGAGGAGGAGGTGAAGAAGCTCTTAAGTGACCTTGACACCTCAAAGGCGATGGGACCGGACAACATCTCCCCATGGGTCCTTAGAGAAGGAGCAGAGATGCTGTGCATGCCTCTAACCACAATCTTCAACACATCCCTTGAAACTGGGCAACTACCTGAGAAATGGAAGACAGCTAATGTAGTCCCCATATTTAAGAAAGGAAACAGAAACGAGGCACTAAACTACAGACCTGTGTCTCTGACATGTATTGTGTGCAAAGTCACGGAGAAGATTATCAGGAGGAGAGTGGTCGAACACCTGGAAAGGAACAAGATTATAAATGAAAACCAGCATGGGTTCATGGAAGGCAAATCTTGTATCACAAACCTCCTGGAGTTTTATGACAAGGTAACAGAAGTAAGACACGAGAGAGAGGGGTGGGTAGATTGCGTTTTCCTAGACTGCAGGAAGGCCTTTGACACAGTTCCCCACAAGAGATTAGTGCAGAAGCTGGAGGATCAGGCGCACGTAAAAGGGAGGGCACTGCAATGGATAAGGGAATACCTGACAGGGAGGCAGCAACGAGTCATGGTACGTGAAGAGGTATCACAGTGGGCGCCTGTTACGAGCGGGGTCCCACAGGGGTCAGTTCTAGGACCAGTGCTATTTTTGATATATGTGAACGACATGATGGAAGGAATAGACTCTGAAGTGTCCCTGTTCGCAGATGACGTGAAGTTGATGAGAAGAATTAAATCGGACGAGGATGAGGCAGGACTGCAAAGAGACCTGGACAGGCTGGACATGTGGTCCAGCAACTGGCTTCTCGAATTCAATCCAGCCAAATGCAAAGTCATGAAGATTGGGGAGGGGCAAAGAAGACCGCAGACAGAGTATAGGCTAGGTGGACAAAGACTACAGACCTCACTCAGGGAGAAAGACCTTGGGGTGACCATAACACCGAGCACATCACCGGAGGCACACATCAACCAAATAACCGCTGCAGCATACGGGCGCCTGGCAAACCTGAGAATAGCGTTCCGATACCTTAATAAGGAATCGTTCAAGACACTGTACACTGTGTATGTTAGGCCCATACTGGAGTATGCAGCACCAGTCTGGAACCCACACCTGGTCAAGCACGTCAAGAAGTTAGAGAAAGTACAAAGGTTTGCAGCAAGGCTAGTCCCAGAGCTCAAGGGAATGTCGTACGAGGAAAGGTTAAGGGAAATCGGACTGACGACACTGGAGGACAGAAGGGTCAGGGGAGACATGATAACGACATACAAGATACTGCGGGGAATAGACAAGGGGGACAGAGATAGGATGTTCCAGAGAGGGGACCACGGGACAAGGGGTAACAACTGGAAGCTGAAGACTCAGACGAGTCACAGGGACGTTAGGAAGTATTTCTTCAGTCAAGAGTTGTCAGCAAGTGGAATAGCCTAGCAAGTGAAGTAGTGGAGGCAGGAACCATACATAGTTTAAGAAGAGGTATGACAAAGCTCAGGAAGCAGAGAGAGAGAGGATCCAGTAGCGATCAGTGAAGAGGCGGGGCCAGGAGCTGAGTCTCGACCCTTGCAACCCACAATTAGGTGAGTACACACACACACCACACACACCCCACACCACACACACACCCCACACACACACACCCCACACACACACACCCCACACACACACACCCCACACACACACACACACCACACACACACACACACACACACACACACACACACACACACACACACACACCCACACACACACACACACACACCCCCACACACCCACACACACCCCCACACACACCCCACACACACCCCACACACACCCCACACCCCCCCCCCCACACCCCCCCCACACACACACACACCACACACACACACACACACACACCCCACACCACACACACACACCACACACACACCCCACACACACCACACACACACACACACACACACACACACACACCCCACACACACACACACACACACACACACATTGAGAATAGACAAGAGGAAAACCTAAATATTTCAATAGCTACACTGAGATAGTCTTCAGCATAGTCTCATCTTCGTTTATCATTCCTAGATGTCAGTAGGAGACTTCACTTGCTAGGTTATTTTCTATGTATCAAGTTTCAATAATTACAGTGATGTTGGGAGTGTGTGCCTCCTCCTGTAACACAGTGACTTACTTCCATTAACCTTACGTCTGACATATGTGTGCGTCAAACTTGGTGATTGACACAGCCAAGTATTTGAGAAAGAACGGTTTAATATTATCAAGACATTTATTGATGGAATGTTTTGCCCACCAGGGGCTTGTTCACTGGACTAAACAAACCCCTGGTGAGCGAAACGTATCCTCCACGAATGCCTTGACAATCGCTTACGTGTTTTTCTGCCATGTTTGTAATTTGTGGGATGTGTCGACTTACTGACATTGTTATTATATACCTGAGAAAGGTGGTATGCACTAACATAGACTGATATCCAAACTGCATGACAGATATGATAATGACTTCAGTAAACATACAGCCTCTTGGAGTGACAATAAGAGGCTAAACTAAGACATAAACAAAAAGAAAAGAAACATATATAAAAGATGTATAAACTGTATATACTAAAAGGACTTTGGGAAGATGGAAGAGATTGAAAAAAAAGACAAAAAAATCTCAAATAAAAATTAAGAATAGCAAAATAAGTATTAGTTAATAAATGTATGTGCCATTTATTTGTACTTGTTTTTCAGCCTAGTAATATACTCATTTTACCTTCCAACTTTAAAATTCAAATTCACATTTTTATTTCTCTTAATGCTGTACAAGAATAATGTAGTTTTCCTGCAATAAAGCATTGTTAGGCACAAAAAGCCACTAGTATGCAAATGCATTTCGGGAGATGCAATGTCAACTTTCAGGAGCCTAAATTCAGATTCGTGCGTTAATGTTATTGAATAACATAATATGTATGTACCTACAGACTGGCACGAAGACTGAGAGAGTATTGTGGAATGGCAGAGTGCCAGATGCCGTCACTGCAGTGTTGGCCCAACACGCTCTGTTGCTCAACTTGAGCATAGAGGCCCAACAGCTGGCTTGGTGGAGCATAACCTCACAGTCAGCGTCCGTGGACAGTTCTTGGGCACTGGCTCAGCTCAAGGCAGTCCAGTCGTCACTAGTGCTCAATTTGTACTCCAGTGAAGAGCAGTCAGAGTTGTGTTCATCCCTATGTTGCTTTGCTACCAAATGTTTAAATAAAATCAAGTTTCTTGATGAATATTTTCCAGTAGCATTAAATAGCTCCAGAGTTCAGCTCACATATACATTAAAGTAAGTGCATTGCTTCCTTATCTTATTAATATATAAAAATTACAAACATATACCCTAGATTCAAAGTGTGATTTGTTCAGTACGTTCAAAATCCTATATATGATTTACTCTTCATATATAAAAACCACATGCAATGATATAACACACGCTTCACGTATATTCCAATAAGTTCATCTCTCGTGGAGACTACTTATTCTGGTAAGTATATCTTTCTTTTGATGTATGTGCTAAGAGAACAACATATATTTATATATACATTTAGAGTGTACTTTAATTTAAATAGGCCTATATTTGGAATTAAAGTATTCTTAGCTGGTGATGAACCGATTATATGCAGCCTTACCGACCATCTTGTAGTCAGTGGACTTTAAATCGAATTAACCTCCCATGATCAATAATTCACAGGGTATATACACCAAGTGGTGTATACCTCTCAGTGTATATACCTTGAGACTTTATTTTAATCCCCTATATTGGGGGTTAAAGTATTTTTAACTAGTGGTGAAGAGGCAACATGTAGCCATAATGACCCTAGTGTAAGCGAAAAGCTTAAATTAAACGTAACAAATGTATGACTCGTACAGGTTTAGCAACTTTTTTTTTAATTAAATTATTAAACCAATTCAAACAATCATTAACAGTTCATATTTTGCATATTTACTTCATATTGCAGAGCACTGCAGAGCTTGCAAGATCATCCACACACCCAGAGACTTCTTAACAAGATCAGATTAACAACAATCATTGAGGACGTTATTGCAGCCATCAAAGAATATGCAGATGAATGGTCAGTGATCTATAATGTGGTAAACTGCACTGAGACCTCTATTCTTTAGTAAAGGTACACTTAAGTAAACTTGAATGGTACCTGATATTAAATAGCAATTCAGCGAGGCTTAATTCTTTCCTCTTATAAAGGTTAATGACTCAGTTTATCCACTCTCTTATTGTATTTACAAATTCCTGCGAATGCTTTTTTCACCGCTTCATTATATGAAGCGCATGGAGTTGTGGAGGCTCGAACCTCCGTATGGTAAACGTAAAAGACACATGGGCTTCCTATTATTACTGACGTGGTTGCGTGTTCGCCAGGTGGAATCGCCTGGCACACATGACACTGGGGAAGGCGAACACCGTCAGCGAACACTTGACTGCTGCTCTTACCATCACGGAAGAAGTGCTCGTCCACATCAAATACGTCTCCAATATTTATAATGACATCTTCAAGCAGTGAGTCTATGCTTGTTCTTTTGTTCGTATGCTATCGTTATGACTATATGATGGGAGTAATCTCAAAAAGAAGAATATACTATAGAGCGCATGAAGGGATAGAACCAATGACTCGATACGATCCTTATATTTTGATTATGATCATTTTTTTTTTAGAGAGATGAACATCCGTGCAGTGATGTACATATATGAGACTATTGTTGGTCACATGGTGAGGTCCATGCAACCAGTCATTGTCCACGTCCAGACCACCATATCCTCAGAAAAATCCACGGGTAGGTACATGTTGTGCGTACCTCACTAGTATGCGTCTGACATTAATTACTGCAATTCATATACGATGTCAGATCCACAAGACAATAAAAAAAATATTTTGCAATTCTTGAATAGCATGTCAAAGAGAAATCATTATTATTATTATTATTATTATTATTTTATTATTATTATTATTATTATTATTATTATTATTATACCTGCTTTGTGATTTATCTTTTACAGAGAGTGATCACAAACCACATTACGACTTCGGGATTGGCTCCTCACTGTGGAAATTGTTCAAGAATCTTGAAACAATCTCTCTGTGAGTATGAATGCTTCTCTGTGAATATGGATGCTTCTCTGTGAGTATGGATGCTTCTCTGTGAGTATGAATGCTTCTCTGTGAATATGGATGCTTCTCTGTGAGTATGGATGCTTCTCTGTGAGTATGAATGCTTCTCTGTGAGTATGGATGCTTCTCTGTGAGTATGAATGCTTTTCTGTGAGTACGAATGCTTCTCTGTGAGTATGAATGCTTTTCTGTGAGTATGATGCTTCTCTGTAGTAGTGCTTCTTGTGAGTATGAATGCTTCTCTGTGAGTATGAATGCTTCTCTGTGAATATGAATGCTTCTCTGTGAATATGAATGCTTCTCTGTGAGTATGAATGCTTCTCTGTGAATATGAATGCTTCTCTGTATGAATGCTTCTCTGTATGAATGCTTCTCTGTGAGTATGAATGCTTCTTTGTGAGTATGAATGCTTCTCTGTGAGTATGAATGCTTCTCTGTGAATATGAATGCTTCTCTGTATGAATGCTTCTCTGTATGAATGCTTCTCTGTGAGTATGGATGCTTCTCTGTGAGTATGAATGCTTTTCTGTGAGTACGAATGCTTCTCTGTGAGTATGAATGCTTCTCTGTGAGTATGGATGCTTCTCTGTGAGTATGGATGCTTCTCTGTGAGTATGAATGCTTCTTTGTGAGTATGAATGCTTCTTTGTGAGTAAGAATGCTTCTCTGTGATTGTGGATGCCTCTGAGTATGGATGCTTCTTTGTGAGTATGAATGCTTCTCTGTGAGTATGAATGCTTCTCTGTGAGTATGAATGCTTCTCTGTGAGTATGAATGCTTCTCTGTGAGTATGAATGCTTCTTGTGAGTATGAATGCTTCTCTGTGATTGTGGATGCCTCTCTCAGTATGGATGCTTCATTGTTTTAACCACTATTGTAAGTTGGTTATGAATAGTTTCAACCATGGTATTGTGAGTTACTTGTGAATTGTTTCAGCTGCGGTATTAAGAGTTTGCTGTGAATTGATCTAGCTTCTATATTGTGGGTTATTTATGAATTGTTCTTTCAACGGTATTGTGAATTTTTCCAACTACGATATTAATGGTTTATCGTGAATTGTTCCAGCCACGGTATTCCTTGTTCGTTGTTAATTGCAATAGCTACAGTATTGTGGATTAGTTGTGAATTGGTCAGCCATGTTACTGTGAGTTGTGAAGTGTTCCAGCCACGGTATTATGAGTTATGAAGTGTTCCAACCACGGTATTATGAGTTATGAAGTGTTCCAACCACGGTATTATGAGTTGTGAAGTGTTCCAGCCACTGTATTATGAGTTGTGAAGTGTTCCAACCACGGTATTATGAGTTGAGAAGTGTTCCAGCCACAGTATTATGAGTTATGAAGTGTTCCAGCCTCGGTATTGTTAATTGTGAAGTGTTCCAGCCACGATTTCGTGACTATTTTTTCTCCTTTAGTAGATCAATTTTTGTCACTGAACTTACAAAAAAAAATAATGTACACTATTGGTCAACTCTTCCCTTCTTATGCAGGTTAGACAGCAAGTTTGATTTTAAATTATGATAAATTATGTGTTTCGATACTATGTGAACTTAGTTCTTTTATATAAGTAGTGAACCTAAAATTTCATTGTTTTCCTTTAGGCTGGAGTACGACATTCCTCTCGCGGTAAGAGTGAGTACAGGTCTTGGCCAGTACTACCGATGGTTCATGCCTGCAGTAGATAGCTGGCTTCTGTTCACTAACCATCAAGCTCACACCAACGTGAGAGAAGCTCTCCAGAATGATACATTTGAGCCTGTTGACGCCCACAACAGCTTCAGTCAGTCTTCCGTAGAAACAACAGCTATCTTCCATAGTGTAAGTGGGAGGGTCAGACACGTTGAAACATTTGGAGGCCTTTTTCTGTAATCACTACATGAGGAAATAGGTTCGAAGTGGGAATTTCGAATACAAATAACAGTCTGAATCCAATTTTCATAACTGTTAATATGAGAACATAAGTTCTACGTGGGCATTTCAAATATGTACAATGATTCCGAGTCCTTGTGTAAGTCAGGTGAACTAATAGGCTCTAACAAAGTTTGCTAGGTTCATGCACTATCGATGCTGGGTCATTAAATCGAGTGTGTACTTCAGTCTTAAATTAAGTCTTTCTTTTTATGTGTATCGGTTACTACAGCTTCACTACTTTAAAACTGTATGTTGCGTATCAAAAAAAAAAAGCAAGAAAAATTAATTTATAATATATTGCAAAATATAGACATTTGGAAAATTTTTATTAAAAATCAGATACACTGAACATACAAGAACATCAGTGATGTACATTAAGTAGAAATTGGAACCAAATGCGTAATATAAAATAAAATATCACATTTAGAATACTCATGGTCTGATGTGTATGACAGAAATACATTACAGAAGAGTATGACAAATGTTGCTGATTTACAGTGGCTAAAATATTCACTTAAATAGGATATATACACTGAGAGGTGTATGTCTTTCAGTGTATTTATGCAGAGAGTTCATCTTAATCCCTGTTTTAGGTATTAAAGTATTCTTGACTGGTGGTGAACAGTTGACATGCAGCCATAATGACCCTCGTGTAGTAGATAAGTTTCAAACCTCATTAACTAGCCAACTAGAACCCTACAGTGTTTCCTCCCATAGTACCTACTTACCTACCTGCCTGGAGGGTAGGTAGGAAATTAAAATTATTTAATTGTTGGTTGGAACCTATTTCACATATTTTAGAATTTTTTTTAATCTCCTTTCCACTTACATTACAGATTAAGGTGTGGTGGCACAAGCTGGGGTGGCCTGATCTAGACTCCTCTTCTCAGTTCTTTATAAAAATCCTGGAAAACCTGTACTCCCTCTGTATATATTATGTTGACACCTTGTTCGACAGGACGGACAGTGTGTTTGAAGAAACGTCAAATGGACTCCTTATTGGTGAAAAGGTAAGAAATTCTGAAATTCATCACTTACTGTTTGTAGGTCTATTGTTGCCTTTGTAAGAATGTTTCACAACGAGCTTATCGAAATACCAAGGAATTACATTTTATATCATATTTTCATTTGCATATTTACGTATTTATATTTGCATATTCGTGTTTGCATATTCGTTCTTACATTCACATTTACATCATAGAATAAATACAGCGTGAGGTGTATATTTTTCAGCATTTGTATTCCGAGTTTACCTTAATCAGTATTTTATGGAGCAAGTACATCTGTCTGGTGGTGAAAAAAATACATGGAGCTTTAATTAATAACCCCTAGCGTAGGCAACAGGTTTCAGACAGCATCAACTAACCATTTATATAATTAATATGATCACATTTTTATTCGGCAAGGTTTGTGTAGCAGTTACGAATGTTCAACACATTCAGAATGAGATGGAGAGACTTCCAGAAATCTTTGGCTTTGAATTCCTGGTAAAATTAATCAGCACAACTGGTAACGAGAGCCTCGCCACTCAGATTAAATCAAGTGTTGAGTCGCTGACTAAGAGTAAAGTAGATGATCTGAAGGCCAAAACTCATGACCTGATTGATGAAATCACAAGCAAGGTAAGAGTGTTGTACTGTGACCTCTTAACCCACTATTTGACCACATAAAATTTATATTATAGCCCTGAACATAGCAGGCGTCCTCCAGACGGGTATTTCAGCTTACCTAACTGTCATATCCACACTGTGGGCAGCATAACCAGGCTATCTGGAGCAGACGTTGTCTTGGCTAAGTGAGTCACAGTTGTTTACAGTTGAAAGTGGTACATGTGGATATTTTTTTTCTTTTGTAACACATCTGTATGGATGAAATATGTACGAACAATTCATGCTATACTGGACGTGTTGCAAACACTTCAGCTTTGAGCATGGAAGCTCAGTTAATTATGTGGGAGTCCCACTTTTCATCAAAGGAGACATAATTTTGTTCATATCGATAGTATAGGTAGGTATAATGTTTGTCAGGAAACAACAAGTGTTTCCTGATGCGGGTCTAAGTCTTTCAATGATATATAATACAGACAAGATGAAGAATAAAGAAATATCATTACATATGTGTCTAATTCAGCATTTTGTTCATACAATAAATTGAGCTTTTAGATGGTACCGTAAAAGATTTTATCTGACTTTCATTTTGTGCAAGTATGTGTGTGTGTCTGATGTGATATAATTTAATTACTATAATTTCCCAGATGACACCAACCATTGAAAAGTCTTTGGATGATGCTAGTGAGTTTCACGAGTCTTCACTACTACTGAAGGACGTACTTGACCCCTCCATAGCTACTCTGCGCAATGGTCTTGAAGATCAGTATTTTCATCATTTCCTCAAGGGTTTCTGGAAAGTTACGTTGAAGATAATTTCAGCCAGAGTAAAAAATAATGCCAAGGTTTGTATTATATATGCATAAGGTTCGTCTGTCAAATGCAAATGTTGAAAATGGTATAAAATACCTACAAGATGAGTAAGACACATGTGCATCAGCTGGGTATCTTTATAGATACCCAGCTGACACGTGTCTTACCCGTCACCAAATGCAATTAATTATTGTTCATAGGCTGTCGTATAAATCTATGTAAACAAAATATTAATCAACTGTATTTTGTGTTTTTAATATTGCGGCCCTATATTTCAGAGGGAATATGTATATTTTGAAACGATTCACAAAATACTGAAAGAATTGTACAAGTTCTTCACACCAGATTCGGGAGGTCTAGACGACGAGTGTGTCAAGTCTGAAGGTATGATTAGTTCTTCATATCTATATGTGTACATTCTTTCCTGAGACAACGGTATTAACATTTATCCAGTATATATCCAAATTTTTACACTTATTAGTACAGCAGCATTAAGAGATAGAGGAATGATGGTGGTTCGAGGTAGAATCATTAATTATTATTTTGCCAATACTGTATGATAAGTCATGCAGCGTCCTAAAATAAATAGAAAATGAGTATGCTTGATCCAGGATGGAATAGCTCAGTTTCTTGGATCAAGAGCCGGTCACCTGCATCAAATCATTCTAATTCTTTTTCCAAGAGGAAAAGGAGAGTTAGATTGCTTGTCTGGCGACTATCAGGAAGTACTATCCAAAACGTTTCCTGAAATGTACAGTATTTACTTCTTAATATCAACAATTCTGAGGTTGTTTCATGTTTAAAATCTCAATATTTTTTATGCAGAATACACGTCCCTCCTCGACCACCTTGAGATTATGAAGATGGATACGAATGGTCTTATTGCCCAGTACTACCATGAACGATGTAGGGAACAGAATCAAGAAACACTGCCTAGCAAGGGTTTACTTGTCATTCGGGTGAGATTGTATTTCACTCATTTTCTTTTTATTTAGTTTATCAGATATGACAGACTTTTGTTTGTGTGTCTCTGTTAGGGATAATGTAAGAGTTTGAGCAACAGCCTTCATAGACGACTTAAATAGTTTTGCTTGATCTGGTTTTCTTTTATTTCATCCCCATTCTTTCTGGATGTGAATTCGTCCTCTCATTGGTTTGATAATTAGGACATTTTTTTTGTACACAGAGTTTTGGTTTGGTTGATGCAGAGAAGGAAAATGCATTTTGGATTTTTATTATTATTTTTATTATTATTATTATTATTATTATTATTATTATTATTATTATTATTATTATTATTATTATTATTACTGGGTTTGTCTCCATTACAGACCTTCTTCAAAGACGCCGACCACCTAGCAGTGAGAATAATCATGGCTCGTGATATCGTAGTGGAGAGTGAGGAGCCTCGTCACTTACCTCTGGAATACTTCGTGAAAGTACAGCTCCAGCCTGATGGATGGTTCCCAAAATCTACGAAGACAAACACGAAAGTTTTAAAAGAAGACCCAGCGACCTTTGACGAAGAATTTGAGTTGTGAGTTTAAATGTATTTATGGAGGCTGTCCTGTGTATAGCTTCATGATTTATCTTTTTGTTATTGCGATTGTGGAAAATTGCTGAATTTGTTAAGATCTTGCATTGCTTGGGTGTTGGGAGGGATTGGCGGGTAATCTTATTTGATCCGAGAAAGGGGAAGGCAGTTTCAGCACCTTATTTCAACAGCCCTTCACTATTTTTTAAGACACGCCATTTGAATCGTTGTGTATTGATTATTTTTTTACGTGAGGGGGAAGTGGCAAACGTTGAAGAGTCATACAAAGGCCATGCAAGGGAAGATATGGTAGCTCTAAGTCTCTGGATCAAGAGATACATGTGCGACACTTGGGTATCTTTATTGCCCAAACATTTCGCCTGCATAGTAGGCTTCTTCAGAGGAATATTACACCGAAGACAGATCACTTTAAAATTACTTCTGTCTCCGACGTTATAATCGTCTACGTTCGACTGAAGATACCCAGCTGTTGCCCGTGTGTCTCACTCATCAACGTGCCAACATTATATACTGTCATACTATGAATAATAAGACTATTCTTCATATTTAAATTTCAGCGACATCAGCGGAGCTGATGAGAATAAGATGAAAGGTATATTATTGTTAACGCTGAAGGACAAGAACAGGATCTACGCAGACACTGTGCTGGGTGAAGCCTTCGTAGCTCTGTCCAGCATCCCTTCAGATTTATCTGAAGTGAAGAACTTGTATCTTCACTTGCACGAGCTGTGCAACAACCACTGTAAGTACCAAGTTGACGACATTCTGGTTAAGAGAGACAATTTGCTGAGCAAGTCATACTAACACGTGGTGAGGTGCGAGTCGTGTCGCATGAGCTGAAAGAACAGGTGGGGTCGAAGCAGTTCGTGATTTTATTAACACTAATCCCTATCTTTTTAATAACTTCAGCGAGAAATTCTGAAGCTCTTGATGAATGAGATACATGTGCAACACTGTGGTAGCTTTACTGATGAGACACATGTGCAACACTGGTAGCTTTACTGATGAGACATGTGCAACACTGTGGTAGCTTTACTGATGAGATACATGTGCAACACTTAAGTATATTTATTGATGAATGAGACACGTGCAATATGGGTAGCTTTATTGTCGAAGCGTTTCACCTGTGTAACAGTCTTCAGTCGAATACACAGATGATATTGATAGTGGAAGAAGTAGAGACGGGTCGTCAAAAAGGTAAGAGTTGTGTCAGGACACTGCCCTCGCGAATATTATAAATGAGGAAGAAGTGATAATTCTGGGGTATTCAGTCCTTCAGTCTTGGTAGAATGTGAACTTCTTGCCACAAAACTCCTAGGACGTGTGATCCAAGGAAGAGGAGAATACCTACCAAAAATAAGTACTAATAGAATGAATTGAGTTTGTTAATATTAGCTTTTATTTAATATTATTATTAGTGTTATCAAATTATTATAATTAAATTATTATTATTATCAAAACTAAGCGCTAAACCAACAAGGGTCATACAGCATTGCCCTTTTATTTAACAGCCCTTCAATAAATATCAGTATTGATAATAAAATATTTATTTTATTTTTTAACACATCGGCCGTTTCCCACCGAGGTAGGGTGACCCAAAAATAAAGAAAAACCCAAAAAGAAGGAAAAAACTTTCATCATTCAACACTCACCATCATTCATACATAATCACTGTCTTTGCAGAGGCTCAGATACAACAATTTAGATCTCTTTCTAAACTGCTAATATCCCAAACCCCTCCTTTAAAGTGCAGGCATTGTATTCCCATTTCCAGGACTCAAGTCCGGCTAACCGGTTTCCTTGAATCCCTTCACAAAATATTATCTTGCTCACACTCCAACAGCTCGTCAGGTCCCAAAAACCATTCGTCTCCATTCACTTCTATCTAACACGCTCATGCACGCTTGCTTTATATTAAAAAATACAAAAAATATAAACAGTTTTCAAACTTTTTGAATAAGAAAGTAATATGTAACTTGTACTGCTTCATAAAGTTTAATGTCCATATTTTTTCCACAGGTTATAAGTCTCTCGAAATTCTTCAGGACAGAAAATCAGACCACACTGCCCATCATTTTCTCAAGAAAATAGCCAAACGTTATCCAGGATTTGCTATAAACAGGAGCAAGTTGACACTATTTATTTGATCAACGCGGCAACTGTTCGCAGACGAGGTGCCAGTTCCTCATGTTGATAGTTTATAGGGCTACTGACAGGTTATGCCGCATCATGTTGTCGATGGTTTATAGGGCTACTGACTGGTTACGCCGTAGCATCTACTTGTTGATGGCATATAGGGCTACTGACAGGTTATGCCGCATCATATTGTTGATGGTTTATAGGGCTACTGACTGGTTATGCCGCATCGTGTTGTTGATAGTTTATAGGGCTACTGACTGGTTACGCCGTATCTTATTAATGGTTTATAGGGCTACTGACAGGTTATGCTACATCATGTTGTTGATGGTTTATAGGGCTATTGACTGGTTACGCCAAAACTTCTTGTTAATGGTTTATAGAGTTACTGACAGGTTACACCATATCGAGACCAGTTGCTGAGTTACTGTTATTATGCGTTTGGGAAATATTGGTTTTGACTTGACGGCTCTGAAAATAACCGGTTTCCTTTATTTTTTTTTTTCATTTATTCGTCTTAATTTAGTACTGGAGAGGATCTTCATCTCCAGTAATTGAGAGTTAAGTGACCCATCGTACATGTGACCTCATATTACGTTAAAATAGTTTAATTTTTCTAATTCCTCTTTATTCCGCTGGGAGTGTTAGGTGTAACATTATGCATACGTAAAAAAGTATGAAAACTTTTCGTGCAGAAAACATCCGTTGCGGAACAAGGGTTTCACTGTGTAGAGCTTTATCGAGTTATGACTTGACGACTTGATAAAGCTCAACACAGAGTGAAACATTGAGGCAGTGAAAATTTGCAACGTGTCGTGTTTTAACTACTGTCGTCAGCATACTGTTTAACTCAGTATCAACGTGAATCACAATACCTATTTAGCCAAGCATTTCATAACACTTAAGTTAGTATATTGCCTTAAATGATAATAAATCTTTAGTACAAACTTGCTTCACAAATGTATCATGAGTTCTGCCCGAACTATTGCTAGTAGTATATTTGTGTAGGTATATTGCTAGTGTAATTTTTGCACAAGTGGTTTATGTTAGGCTTAATTTCTTGATATATGTGTATTTGTAGTATGGAATGAATAATAAGAGTTAGGTGTCTGATGTCCAATGATGTGTCGATGTTATGTAGGTGAGTGTAGTGGATGTTGAAGGTTTAGATAAAATATTTGTTTTTTACCATATGAAAAGGCTAATCCTGTAGTGTGTCAAACAGCGCCGGAAGAATGGCAGGCAATCATAATGGCTGCAGTTTCTTAGATCAGGAGTCCTTCGCTAGCATCAAGGTACTTGAAAGGTTAATCTACAGTATATTCAGGAAAATTAATATGTGCTTTGTTTTAAGGTGGAATGGCCAGCAAGTGACCTTGATTATCACCTTATTATGTCTTGTTTATTGTTAAATTTTCTTGTTACATTTGACATTTATAAAAAAAGATAGTATTTTATATATCTATAACAATTTTAAATACATGTCGAAAATAATTGTGTTTATGTATCCTTAAAATCAAACATTCTTATAAGATGTTAATCAAATTATAATAATGCTGAGGCACTAAACCCATAAGGGTAGGACTCGAACCCATGGCAGGAGAGTCCTAAAGCTCACAGGCTCGTTCTGTGATTTGTTTGTCATAGTGTTATTGCGATTTCGTGAGCCAAAAGGATCATACAAGAATGGGGCGTATTTTTCTCTGTACGGTACAGTATACTATATGCTGATAGTTTTATTCCTCTTTTAGGGACTAAAGTATTGACATGTGTTGGAATACAGGTGGCATGCAGCCTTAATGATCATCGTGTAGTCGTTAGACTTTAAGCCCAATTAACTATCCAACAGCGCCTGGGGAGTTGGAGGTAATCAGTTTTCATCTAAAGAATGGAAGGATAGTTCCTGGGCTGTTCCTTATATATTTACTCAGAGCACACAACACTTGCCACTAAGTACTGTATGTAGTCATCTCCGAAAACTGCAAGCATAATGCCCCTCAAGGAAGGTTCCTTGATGTTGGTGAGGGGCTCTTGATTTAGGGAATTGGATCTGTGCTCCAGTTCCCCGAATTAAGCCTGAATGCCTTCCACATCCCCCCCAGGCACTGTATAATCCTCCGGGTTTAGCGCTTCCCCTTGATTATAATAATAATAATGTAAGCATAATGAATCAGAGCCATCTAGTGGTGATATGAAGCCCTAAATGGTCTGGTAACCATTAGAGTGCTATGCTACTTCCGACTTGTCAGGAGTGGGCAGGCCAGTTATGTTACCCGCTCCTGATGACCATGCCAACCGCACCTTCGTAACATTTAGTAACCATACACGTATCATACTTTAATGCTTTACAAAGCCGACAAGTAGATGAATGAACCACATGAATAATACGTGGATAGCTTTATTGTGGAGACGTTTCGCCTGCCAGTGGTTGGTTCGCGATTTATCTTCAAACAGACGTACTCAGGTGTTGGACATGTCTACCTCCTCATGACCGTTGGATGAAACATCTTTCTAGGCTGAGGGACTGATCACCTCTAAGTAATTCTCCACGTCTTCCATGGCCTCCAACTGATTCATCAAGACAGAGGGACTGATCACCTTATACCCTTTTACAGTCTGCAGTATTATTCTCCGTATTGGATTGATAAATTATTGTAATTACAACTAAGCGCTAAACCACCAGGGTCATACAGCGCTGCTGGACTAATAAAGCTCATAGTTTTCGAAACGTCTCCAAAACAAAGCCACCCAAGTGTCGTACTCGTCTACTAATACAGTAAGAAATTACTACCTGGCTGGTACCTCAGCAGCAGCGTTTTTGACTCGCGATGGACTGACCCAAGTTCAGAGGAGAGGCGAGATGAAAGGTCAAGTCATCGTACACTAGCTGCCCCTCTTCTCCTAGAAATAAATAGATACCTGGGTGCTTGCCGACTGGTGTGAGTAGCATCCTGAGGATGGGGGAGTATAGTATACCTTAAATAGGTTTGGGCGTTGAAATGAGTTAGGACTAAGGACAGATCTTACATTCTATATCCAACTGTATAAAAAAAGAATGGAACATACGGAAGGAACACTGTTTACTGATTTAGACTCAACTAAACTTACGGGGAAAATGAGTCTACGACTGTCCTTAACTATGAAGATTTACAAAAAACTCTACCTACTTCAGCAGATGCCATTGATTACGAAGACTTGAAAAAGTTTATACATTATTATTATTATTATTATTAATTATTATTATTATTATTAATTATTATTATTATTATTATAACATTCATGAGGAAGCGCTAAAACCGTAGGGGACCATACAGCGCCTGAGAAATCAGAGATAATGAGATTCGATTTAACGAATGGGAGAGTAGCCCCAAATCCATGGTTCAAAAGCCCTTTTACCAGCTTCAAAATATCTCTCAAGGAAGACGCTGCAGCATCACTGGGCAAGCAAGAAACCTACCGGGCGCCTGGAAGATGGCTAACATGTTTAAAATCTTCAAGACGAGCTTCGTAAAGAAGCAGTTGACTTTTAGGCCGGCATACCTAACAAAAATGGCATATATTGGTAGACTCGCTGAGAAGGAATTAGTGGGGCACCGTGAGATCATTCAAATACCAGAACAAGATTAAAAACAGAAAGTCATAGCTTGTGGATATAATATAGGCTTATGAAAGGCTGATGAAAATCTCACAAGAAAGAGAAGGGTGGTTGGACTGGATATTTCTAGAGTACATAAAAAAAAGAGCCTTTGACCCAGTGCCACAGAAGAAGACTATTACATAACTTGGAGTTACCATCTGGAGGCTGGTGACCCCATCTGGTGATCCCACCTGATGACCCCACCTGGTGACCCCACCTGGTGACTCCACCTGGTGATTCTCAGTGTACATACATTCAAGTGTTTACTTTAATCCTTATTTTCGAGATTAAAGTATTGTTGACTGGTGGTGAACAGGTTATATGTAGCCTTAATGGCCATCAGGCAGTTGAGAAGCTTAAAACCATAAACCAACCAATCTGGAGTGATAGTACAGGGTATTAACAGTGACACAGTCACTCTGACAGATGAAGACCGTGAACTATTAATTTAAATAATCAGTGTTTCCCAAGACTTGGTCTCAAGAATACAAACAGCGCACTAATAATAATGAGAGAAGCACACGCTACAGAACAAGCTTTTATTTCAACACTACATATCATCTGTATGATGTCCCGAGTAAAAGCTCGAGCTGCAGTTTGTGTCATTTTTTCACTACTTAAACTTTTGTTAATGTACTTGCTTTATCTGGCCTCCTCCCCGACAGCCCCACCTTCGACGCAGACTCCTTCTTTGACTTTTTGTACACAAACTTATATTTTTCCTTTAGTGCTCTCCACTACCCTTACTGACTCTGGCTCTTTCACACCCCTAACCCTCCCTGGTCTCTGATCTTCGCATATTTGCATATTTCGTCTTTACCACATCCGGTTCTGCAGAGCTGTATGCCCCTTGTGGGTTTAGTGCTTAGTTTTTTATTGTAATAATTGGTCTTATGCTATATACAGCTGCTGGTAGGCGTGAATGATCGTCCAGCAGGAACAGACTACTAAATAGGAACATTAATTCACCACAGAGTTATCTACGAAATTAGAAAAAGATGAAGACTGTATATCAGTGATATTACATACTGATGTGTATGTTAATGAGACAATATGCTATTGATGGCATTTTATCGAGAAGACGTTTCGCCCACCAGAAACGTTATTACTTCTCCAGGAGATAATTAAGAAACATGTACAATAGTTAGGTATTTTATTCCGAAACGTTTCGCCGACACAGTAGACTTGTTCAGTCGGCTGCAGAGGAGGCAGCAGATGCAGTAGAAATGTAAAGACGATAACATTTTTTGACTGACCACTAGTTACGAGTGAGAAGGGTTGGATTTGAGAGGGACCTACCAAGTAGGTTTATTACACTGTCTTTCAGTGATTACCTTCTTACTTCTACTAGTGGGCCCCGTCTGTTCTGTCATCAAGATTATCTGTGCCTCACCTTCGACAATGTATAAGTCCTCCTCTTCTCCAGGCTGAGGGACTGATCACCTCAAAACTACGTCTTCGAGGATGATGGACTGATTACATCATATTTACAGCTCTACTGTTTCTATTGCCTGTGTGTTAGTAACACAGAAGGAACCACCGAATGACGTAAACAAACAACAGGGATTGAGAAAAGTGGCACTAAAATTCAACCCCGGAACATGCCAAGAAGTGGAAACGAACCCAGGGGAGAGGAAGTAGGACCCAGGGTAACACCCCAGGGGTCAAGAACCTCAACTAAGACCCACTACATAAGGAAGACGTGAGAGTAAATCTGATAGCCTCTTCTATGAAGGACACATTCCAGTCACATTAATGTCAGAGTAGCTATTATTATTATTATTAATTTATTTATTTACTTATTTTAAATGTTAGGCTCTAAGAAAGGTGGCAAGAACAGAGAAGGGTAGACCTGGGGTAGGATAGATCAGTGGAAAAAAAGTTGTGGGTAGACAGGAAGAGAGAGGGAAGAAAGGTTAAGTGACCTGACCAGTTGTTGTGGGTTACCGAGGAAGTGGTTTTTGTCACACACACACTGTTGCCTCTATGTATTTATAACATAATAAAATTATTATTATTATTATTATTATTATTATTAGTAGTAGTAAGTAGTAGTAGTAGTAGTAGTAGTAGTAGTAGTAGTAGTAGTAGTGGCAATAATAGTTGTAGCAGCAGTAGTAGTAGTATCAATAGTAGTACTTTTGATATCCTTCTGATGAGTTTCAAGAGTCTCACTACTCTCTGAGCACGGCCATGGGCCAGGCTCGTCTGGTGCTTGCCTGGTCAACCAGGCTGTTGCTGCTGGAGGTCCACTGCCCCACATATCCATCACAGCCTGGTTGATCTGGCACCTGGTGAAGATACTTGTCCAGTTTCCTTGTGAAGGCTTCTACACTTGTTCCAGCCGTGTTTCTGATGTCTTTCTATGTTGATACAGTGTTCCCTCATTGTCCCCACCGCGCCCCTGTTCCTCACTAGGTTTATTTCGCACTTCCTCCCCTATCTCCCCCTCCAGTATGTTATTTCAGTGTGCAGATTTGAAACCAGGCCCTCGAGTACTTTCCAGGTATATATTATCATGTATCTCTCTCGCCTCCGTTCCAGTGAGTACATGTTCCAGACTTTAAGGCGCTCCCAGTAGTAGTTGTAGTATTAGAACCAGCATTTATTCAACAAGCAGCGCTAAAGCCACAAGATTTATAGAACACCAGGGAAAATAGGAGTTAATAAAGCTGGACCTGAGTTAAAGAGACCGGCAGCACCAATTCCTTGGAGCAAGAGCTCTTCATCAGCATCAAGGCTCCACCCTGGAAAGATCAACTCGGGTCAAAGGTCAACACCTCGGGGGATAATTTATACATGGCGTTCGACCAACTTAATTCTATAATACTGACCTGGAGTTTACCTGGAGAGAGTTCCGGGGGTCAACGCCCCCGCGGCCCGGTCTGTGACCAGGCCAGGTTACTGATGCTTGTGGAAGATTTGTGTTATCATAAGGGTGAAAATTTAATTATGTTGTTAGATATTGTAATTAGTAATGATAGTCATTACAGAGTTTACATTATACTCATTGTAATTTTAATTAATGACTTTGTGTGGTTGACATTAGTGGTTTCGTGTGGTTGTTTGTGTTGTGGTTGTGTTGATGTGGTTTGGTTTGCATTGTTGTGGTTTGCCGTCTGTTGCTATAGTTGCCGTGTGTTGTGTTTGCTGCGTGTTGTTGTGGTTGTGTGTTGTGATTGTTGTGGTTGTTTGTGTTGTTTTGGTTGTGTGTGTTGTGGTTGTGCTGTGGTGGTTGTTTGTTTGTGTTGTGCTGGCTCTGTGTGTTGTAGTTGTTGTATGCGTTGTGGTTGTGTGTGATTTTGTGCTGTGGTTGTTGTGTTTCTGTGGTTTTTGTGTGTATTGTTGTGGTTGTTTCTGTTGTGTGTGTTTTGGTTCTGTTGTTGGTGTGTTGTTGTGTTGTGGTTGTTGTATTGCTGTGGTTGTTGTGTGTATTCTTTGTGGTTGTTGTTTTCTGTTGTGTGTGTTGTGGTTGTGTTGTTGGTGTGTGTTGTTGTGGTTGTGTTGTTGTGGTTGTGGAGTGTTGAGGTTGTTATTTGTGCTGTTGTGGTTTTTGTGTTGTGGTTGCTATTTGTGTTGTGGTTGTTATGTGTGTGGTGGATGTCGTTTTGGTTGTTGTGTGTGTTGTGGTTGTTGTGTGTGTGTTGTGTGGTTGTGGTGTTATTGTGGTTGTGGTTGTTGTGTGTGTTGTGGTTGTGTGTGTTGTTGTGGTTGGTGTGTTGTTGTGGTTGTGTGTGTTGCGGTTATGTGTGTTGTTGTGGTTGTGTGTGTTTTTGTGGTTATGTGTGTTGTGATTGTTATGTGTTTGTTGTGGTTGTGTGTGTTGTGGTTGTTGTGTGTGTTGTTGTGGTTTGTGTGTGTGTGTGTTGTGGTTGTTGTGTGTTGTGGTTGTGTGTGTTGTTGTGGTTGTGTGTTGTGCTTGTGTGTGTTGTTGTGGTTTGTGTGTGTTGGGTTGTGTGTGTTGTTGTGGCTGTGTGTGTTGTTATGTGTGTTGTGGTTGTGTGTTGTTGTGGTTGTTGTGCGTATTGTTGTGGTTGTTGTGTGTGTTGTTGTGGTTGTTGTGTGTGTTGTCGTGGCTGTGTGTGTTGTGGTTGCTGTGTGTGTTGTCGTGCTGTGTGTTGTGGTTGTTGTGTGCGTTGTTGTAGTTGTGTGTGTTGGGGTTGTTGTGTGTGTGTTGTGGTTGTGTGTTTGTGGTTGTTGTGTGTGTTGTAGTTGTGTGTGTTGGGGTTGTGTGTGTTGTGGTTGTGTGTGTTGTTGTGGTTGTGTGTTTGTTGTGGTTATTGTGTGTGTTGTTGTGGTTGTTATGTATGTTGTGGTTGCGCGTGTTGTGGTTGTTGTGTGTGTTGTGTGGTATTGTTGTGTTGTGGTTGTGTATGTTGTGGTTGTTATGTGTTGTTGTTGTGGTTGTTGTGTGTTGCTGTGGTAGTTGTGTGTGTTGTTTGGTGTTGTGGGTTGTTGTGTGTGTTGTTGTGGTTGTTGTGTGTGTTGTTGTGGTTGTTGTGGTGTTGTGGTTGTGTTGCGCGTGTGTTTGGTTGTTGTGTGTGTTGTGGTTGTTGTGTGTGTTATGGTTGCGCGTGTTGTTGTGGTTGTTGTGTGTTGCGGTTGTTGTGTGTGCTGTTGTGGTTGTGTGTGTTGTGGTTGTTGTGTGTGTTGTAGTTGTGTGTGTTGTTGTAGTTGTGTGTGTTGTGGTTGTTGTGTGTGTTGTTGTAGTTGTGAGTGTTGTGGTTGTTGTGTGTGTGTTGTGGTTGTGTTGTTGTGGTTGTTGTGTGTGTTGTTGTAGTTGTGTGTTTTGTGTGTTGTTGTGTGTGTTGTGGTTGTGTGTGTGTTGTTGTGGTTGTGTGTGTTTGTAGTTTGTGTGTGTTGTGGTTGTGTGTGTTGCTGTGGTTATTGTGTGTGTTGTTGTGATTGTGTTATGTATGTTGTGGTTGCGCGTGTTGTGGTTGTTGTGTGTGTTCTGTGGTAGTTGTGTGTGTTGTGGTTGTGTATGTTGTGGTTGTTATGTGTGTTGTTGTGGTGTGTGTGTGTTGTTGTGGTTATTGTGTGTGTTGTTGTGGTTATGTATGTTGTGTTTGTGTGTGTTGTTGTGATTGCGAGTGTTGTGGTTGTGTGTTGTTGTGGTTTTTGTGTGTGTTTGGTTGATGTGTGTGTTGTTGTGGTTGTTGTGTGTTGCTGTGGTAGTTGTGTGTGTTGCTGTGGTAGTTGTGTGTGTGTTGTTGTGTGTGTTGTTGTGTGTGTGTTGTTGTGGTTGTGTTGCGCGGGTTGTGGTTGTTGTGTGTGTTGTGGTTGTGTGTGTTGTAGTTGTTGTGTGTGTCGTGGTTGTTGTGTGTGTTGTGGTTGCGCGTGTTGTTGTGGTTGTTGTGTGTTGCGGTTGTTGTGTGTGCTGTTGTGGTTGCGTGTGTTGTGATTGTTGTGTGTGTTGTGGTTGTGTGTGTTGTTGTAGTTGTGTGTGTTGTGGTTGTTGTGTGTGTTGTTGTAGTTGTGCGTGTTGTGGTTGTTGTGTGTGTTGCAGTTGTTTTGTGTGTTGTGGTTGCGCGGTGTTGTTGTGGTTGTTGTGTGTGTTGTGGTTGTGTGTGTTGTGGTTGCGCGTGTTGTGGTTGTTGTGTGTTGTTGTAGTTGTGTGTGTTGTGGTTGTTGTGTGTTGTGGTTGCGCGTGTTGTTGTGGTTGTTGTGCTGCGGTTGTTATGTGTTGTTGTGGTTGTTGTTTGTGTATTGATTGTTATGTGTGCTGTTAGTGACACACACTATAGTTAGTTGGGTTTCAAGCCCATCTACCACACGAGAATCATCAAGGCTTTATGTAACTTCTTCACCATCAGTCAAGAACACATTAATCCCTAAAATAAGGATTAATGTGAACTCTCGGTGTATATGCACTGATAGTATGCACTTCTCCCAGTGAGTATATCCCTGCTAATACTGTTCTAGTTTTAAAAGGAGTAAATCCTCAACATTGTTTACATCCTGGAAGAGGTAGTGAGACACTTGCAATCTGATGCAACAATTGATCTAGCAGCGCCAGGTAAGGATGGTCAAACCTCTGGAACAAGCAGTTCAACAGGCCACTGCCACCACCACCCACTACAGTGCCTTGTATCCTCCATAGGTTGGGCGTGTCTGCTGGCGTGTGGCTTGGGCGTGTGGTCAGCTTAAAGATCACTGGTGCACTCCCGTCTCTCCCATTCTCCAGCATCTCTTCCCCGTATATAAAAGCAGACCCGAGACAACACCTTCAGTCCGCCACACCTTTACACTACGAACAATCATTCTCCTTTAAGCTTTCAACCATGAAGGTTTGTTATAGAATATATATACTATATATATATATATATATATATATATATATATATATATATATATATATATATATATATATATATATATATATACATATATATATATTTTTTTATTAACACACTGGCCGATTCCCACCAAGGCAGGGTGGCCCGAAAAAGAAAAACTTTCATCATCATTCACTCCATCACTGTCTTGCCAGAAGGGTGCTTTACACTACAGTTTTTAAACTGCAACATTAACACCCCTCCTTCAGAGTGCAGGCACTGTACTTCGCATCTCCAGGACTCAAGTCTGGCCTGCCGGTTTCCCTGAACCCCTTCATAAATGTTACTTTGCTCACACTCCAACAGCACGTCAAATATTAAAAACCATTTGTCTCCATTCACTCCTATCAAACACGCTCACGCATGCCTGCTGTAAGTCCAAGCCCCTCGCACACAAAACCTCCTTTACTCCCTCCCTCCAACCTTTCCTAGGCCGACCCCTATCCTGCCTTCCTTCCACTACAGACTGATACACTCTTGAAGTCACTTTGTTTCGCTCCATTCTCTCTACATGTCCGAACCACCTCAACAACCCTTCCTCAGCCCTCTGGACAAGGTTTGGTAATCCCGCACCTCCTCCTAACTTCCAAACTACGAATTCTCTGCATTATTATTCACACCACACATTGCCCTCAGACGTGACATCTCCACTGCCTCCATTCTAGCTTAAATAGCAACGCTCTTCTTACCGAATAAGGCAAGCGAAAATGTTGTGTATGCAATAATTTCGCAAAAATAATTCTGAGCCTAACGAAAAAAATATATTTCATTGTTTGTTTATTATTAAATTATTGTAAACTTATCTAAAATATATTTAGTTGGTTTAGGCTAAATTATATTGCGCTTGTTATAATACGGTTAGGTAAGTTTTCCAACGTGCTTTTGGTACAAAATTATTAATTTTTATATTAATTTTAAATGAGTTCTTGCTAATTAACTAATTTTCGTATTCGATACGATATATATATATATATATATATATATATATATATATATAATATATATATATATATATATATATATATAATATATATATATATATAATATATATATATATATATGTTTTACCTGGTTAATATTCCTTTCCTTCCTCCGATAGTTCCATTTAAATATTTCATTGTATTTTTTCCCCCTCCTTAAAGGTGAAACGCCATGTTAGTCTATTTTTAACTGACGTTGACAAGCTTGTTGATAAAAATATATAAGATTAAGGCATACTGCTCCTTGTATAGAAAAATTTACACCCTAAGAACTGTTAACCAACCTCTAATCACTTCAGAATCCATCCACAGCATTATTATTATTATTATTATTATTATTGTATTCAAAACATACGCTAAACCTGTGCGTGCCATTCTGTACCAGTATTAATCCAGGATCTGACCCACAACAGTCGACTCACACACAAAAATAGGTATTTATTGTGGTACTAGGTGAACAGGGGCAGGAGGTGTGAACGAAACTGTGCCAAAATGTTTCGCCAAATCTGGAATTCGAACTCGGGTCCATTCGGCAGTGCACCGAATTCTCTATTACTGAGCTAAGTTACCTTCCTGAACCAGCCGTGAATTAGCAAGGTCACTTACGGTGCTGCGCCTGTAGTTATATATAGAAGTTAAATACTGAAGAAGGGACACCACGAGCTGAACAACGTTATGTAGCTATTAATAAGTAATCATACATAAGTAATCACAAATAAGTAATCGCAAAGAATCACAAATAATCCCAAATGTTTATTCACTCTTAGGATTCAATACGGCGTAAGCTGTGAGTGGCCCTATAAATCGCATAAAAGAAACGGTAATCGCACTTCAATCTACAGGTCTTTGTGTTGGCGGTGGTGGCGGCGACGATGGTGGTGATTGGTTCCTCTGCTGATGACTCGCAGGAGTCTACAGAGTGGGTGAGTACCTCCTCCTATACCTACTGGTTTGCCTTCTGTTTTTACCTGCTAGCTAGCACCCACCAGCTTATGTAACTGGTGAGTTCCTTGGCGAGGTACTCGATCTAGACCGAAACTAACCTTTACAGATTTCACGGAGAATTAGCCAGTGCCGAAAGTTGCTATAGGGAGGAAATTGCATTTATTTGCTTTCAGTTTTTCCTCACCTGGCCAGTTAGAAAGTACAGATCACGATAAAGCTCTACACAGTATATATATACACACGGAGGTGCGTATGCCTCAGCGTATATACGGAAAGGTGTGCATTTGTATATATTCTGAAAGGTATTTCTCTGTATATATAGTGTATGTATCTAGCATTGCATAATGTACACCAAGAGACGTATTATTTCTGTATATACACCGAGAAATGTGTATCTGAATATACACATCAAGTTGAGCATCTGTGTATGTATACCAAGAGGGATATACATGTATATCTCTCAGTACTTAAACACTGAGAGGTGTGTTTACACTGAAGTTCATTCGGTAAACCTTCACTGCATATACATTGAAGGTTTACTGTAAACCCGTTTTAAGAGCCTAATGTATTCTTCATGTGAATGTTTAACACTAAATTGGATGAATAAGACACTTGTGCAACACCTGGGTAGCTTCATTCTGAAGACGTTTCGCCCGCTAGTGGATTCTTCAACACATCTTTTAAACTGGAAACAATAGAATTATTATTATTATTAATATTATTATTATTATTATTATTATTATTATTATCAAAACTAAGCGCTAAATCTATATGGGTGGAAACAAAAGAAGAGGAGGTAATCATTCCCTCAGCACTGATAGGTGTCCAGTCTGCGAGCCATTGAACTGCTGCCTTAATGACGAAATTGCAGCTGGTAGGCTTTAAACGTGACACATTAAACCATTTCCGGGCCATCTGCATCACCATGCAGGGCGGAAGCTGGTGTGGCTCTCGAGACCAAATTTGACACTCTTACCTATATACTAACTACACACACACACAGTATATAGGTAAGAGTGTCAAATTTGGTCTCGAGAGCCACACCAGCTTCCGCCCTGCAATGGCTCGCAGACTGGACACCTGTCAGTGCTGAGGGAATGATTACCTCCTCTTCTTTTGTTTCCACCCCTATAGATTTAGCGCTTAGTTTTGATAATAGTAATAATAATAATAATAATTCTATTGTTTCCAGTTTAAAAGATGTGTTGAAAAATCCACTAGCGGGCGAAACGTCTTCAGAATAAAGCTACCCAGGTGTTGCACAAGTGTCTTATTCATCCAGTTCAATGTTAAACGTTAACATGAAGAATACATTAGGCTTTTAAAACGGGTTTAAAGTAAACCTTCAGTGTATATGCAGTGGAGGTTTACCGTAGTTGTGATAGGGAGCATCATGACACAATACTCGCACCAATTAATTCCTCTCTGTAACCTTTATACACTTGCCTCTTCAATATTTCTTAAGGTGTGAAAGGTGAATTCGTACGTATTGAGGCGACACGAATTCCCCTTTCACACCTTAAGAAATATTGAAGAGGCAAGTGTATAAAGGTTACTGAGAGGAATTAACTGGTGCGAGTATTGGGTCATGATGCTCCCTATCACAACTACGCTGCTTGAACCCAATGTTTGAACTAGTGACCTAAACAGCCTGGCTCTGGAGAGCCATCTCTGGCCGTCGTATGAGCTAATATTATTATCGACTACTATCAGAGACCCATGGATATCTCTGTGTATATCTGTCAGTGTATATATGTCAGTGTATATCTCTCAGTATGTATCTCTCAGTGTATATTCTTTGAATTCAACTTTTGCCCTAATCTAGAGAGTAATGTCTTGATATTAGTGTGTAGGTTAATTGCTGCCCTTAATGACTAGGGTAGGTAGTAGGCATTACACCTGACACATTAACTAGGTCACTAGGTGAGGCTGGGGTCAGCACAGACATTTGTTGGCACTAGGCTGTGATAAACCAGTTTGTCTCCTCTCACTATTATGTCTACATCAATTGCCTCTTTTTTTTTCAACCAGGTTTCTTCCAGTGTTAACAGTGCAATCATTTTTATTTTGGAGTATTTAAAGTTAAATTTCCTGAGTGTTGAAAACTTTTGTCAGGTGAATGTAGGTCGTCCAGTGCCAGTTTATCTCAGATTTATATTTTAGAATATATTTATATTGAGTAAGCAGTCAAATTTTGTCAGTATATTAAAATGAAATTTTAACACACACACACACACACACACACACACACACATATAATAATATATATATATATATATATATATATATATATATATAATATATATATATATAAATATATATATATATATATATAACACATATCCGAATTTATCTGTAGTAAATTCCTCAACTCATCAGAGACAGGCGACCTCAAAGTTAATAAGGTCTCGAATTACTTTTTGTTCATCATTTACCCTTCTTATAGGTTTGTCAAATTTATGACGTGACTAATTAATTTTAGGCTCAACGATCTTGTTGAGACCATTATTAATAATACCCGATTCCCTTATCATCCTCTACTGTATGTTGTGGTACACCATCAGTCCTTTCACATCATTGAAATTACTCTTATCTACCGAAATGGTGAATTATTTTTTTATCTTCAGTGACGTATTTGTGAACGTAATTACACGTTTCTAAACTCACGGCGCTATGCTGGTGTTATGCCCATTACCAAAAGAAAAAAAAAGCCTGAGAGAATAATAATAATAAACAAAAGTTTTCTTTTTCTTGTGTTTTCTGCACTCACAGACGCACACAAGGTCGCACTAAGTTCAAACCTATAATTGTGGACTGTCTGTCCTCCACCCGGGCTAATTAGTGGCCGTGAGGAGATTGCCTCGGCCCTCTGATCCTCACAACACCCGGCAGGTTCTTTTAATACGTCCATGCAGTAGAGCCCTTTTCATCTTGCATATCCTTACCTCTTGCTCCCTCAGTGATCTTCCCCGTCGCCTTCTCCTTCGTCTCTGTGAAATGAACCATCTCAGTTCACAGAAGACTTCCTCCTTCATGACGATCACGCAAATACTGTCGACACTGATTGACTTACTCAAAGCGACAAACTAGACTGAAGTGATGTAGTATGTATATTCATACCCGATCACATTCGTATGTATATAAACAGCGTCTTTCCAGCTCCCACACACTATACATGGTAAACAATAACTACCAGTCTCTTTATTCCCACACCACTTACTCTTAAACTTGCTCTTCTGCCACTTCCCCTCGAGGTGCCTCTTCCACTCTCTCCTCTGAAACGCATTCTGCCTATATTCTAAAATCAAAACTTTTTATTTAAGACAGGGAATGCCTAACATTAGCGTACACCATCCCTCACTAATCTAACGATCCCTGCATTCACACACTGGTGTTTCACACCTCCGCTCCAGAGTGACACGCTGTGACTTAACACTCAGTAGACGCTGGTTTATTTCTTCCTTGTTCCTAAGAAGCGCTGTATAGCCCTTGTGGCTTAGCGCTTCTTTTTGATTATGATAATAATAATTGTCCCTAAGAAGAGACAAGGAGGTGTTAAACTATGAAACTAGGTGTCAAAACACTAAAAAAAAAGAGCACATCTGGCCAAATGACCTGGTGTAGGACCTGACCGGAGAGGCAGTGGCCTCCCAAAATCATTTCCAAGTAACTTCTAGGTAACTAGGTCGCTGACCATTAAGCCCATCTTAGGAGATGAGGTGGCTGAAACAAAAATAGGAAATGTTGAAAAATAGGAAACGCTGAATTCTGTACTCTTGACGCGAAAATATATCCCTCGTGGGGCAAGAATATATCCCTCGAGGCGTTAGAATATATCCCTCGTGGGGCGAGAATGGGCTGGCAAGCAGCCAAACTTCGTTCCATCTAGATGATGCAATTTACGACAGCGTTTATCATCCAGTTGCTTCCTAAGATGCCATGTCACGGTACTCTCAGTGACTGACCCCGTTTTGTAACTCAAGTCACTTGACATTTTTCTTCTTCAGGCCGTGAGGGAATGTGAATCAAGGTTAACGGTGTTCTTCCCCCCTCCCTCCCCATAAAACCCCGTCCCTCCCCATAAAAATAGTCACATAAGTGTCGCTGGACGAATTAACAAGCACTATACAAACTGGTGGTAAATTTTACGACGGCGTTTCGGTCCATGTACACCCATTATTAGTCTTGACCTGATAATGGTTCAGACCGAAACGAAACTTGGTCGTAGAGCTTATCTCCAATCTTTGGGTTGTAGAAATTCTCCCCCGAGCTACGGTGTTTTGTGTCTGGGTAATTGTGGACCAGTTTTTTTCCCTCCAGTCTTCTACTGTATCCAGTTTCTACGCCAGAGCTCCTTCACTCGCCCACCTGCTCTCCCACCACGAGTGACAGTCGGTCGGATGTGAACGTTGTCTAGCTGTTCTGCCTCACCTCGCGGCTGTCCTCGTCATTTGCTTATCTGTAATTAAATGAACGTCTTTATGATTTTTACGTATCTCAATGAAAAATTGCAGTTGCAAATTTCCAGGATGCGTTTAGAAACTGACGTAGGAGGCCAAGGAAATTAGCGTATTATATGAGAGTACATGGGAGGAAGTAGCCCATGGGAGTACGTAGGAGTACATGGGGAAAGTAGATAGCAGGGTTCTTTGAAGTCCACACCCCAGGCTATCTACTGAGAAACACTACTACTGTCAGCGTAGTTGCTGATCCCTGTGTTATATAGCATAGCATATTAGTATCATCCATGTGCTTTAGATAGGAGATCCCTTGTAGGCCTGTGACTTTGTGTGACGTCTACGTCACTCGGCGTAGACCTACAGGCGAAGACAGGCAAGGCACTGGGCTCCATTCCTCATCACCTCAGTCTGACAATATATGTTACCATCCAACAAGCGTGTCTACCTTCAACCCTCGATATCTCCATTTAAGAACCCCTACGATACTCCTGGATAATGAACTGGCGTGTATTATCTAGGATAGAAACATGAAGATAGGCTGGAGTCACACTATATAACGTAGGATGTGTTATTTATAAGACACATTTATTAAAGAAGACGTTTCGCCACTAGTGGCTTTTCAGTCTCCACCATTAGCGAATCGTTCCCTTCAATAGATATCTTGATTGCGTATTTGCTGTATCTTACGACCACAATCCGTGGGTGCTTGGCTGATAGTGTCCTCAGCTCACACACAGAGGGTCCGGTGTATATCCCCAGTACGAATGAAACGTTGGCATGTTTCATACAGTGACTTACACCTGTTGTCCATGTTCACCTAGCAGTAAGTAGGTACCTGAATGTTAGCTGACTGTTATGGGTCGCATCCTGGGGGGTAAAGATTAACCTAAGTTGCAAGAAGTGTTATGCCTAATCAGAGACTTTCCATAGAATATGCTAATGATGTCAGCTAGGTCTGCAATAGTTGTATCTTGTACGTGCAAAAATAAATTATTATTAGTAGTAGTAGTAATAGTAGTAGTAGTAGTAGTACTTTTACAACGCTGGAAATAACTTAACACCTTCGTCCTTCCCCAGCCAATCATCCCCTACGAATTCGGGTACGAGGTCTCTGACCCGGAGACCAACAACTTTCATAACCGAGCGGAGGTGAAGACGGCCAGCGGCGACGTCTTCGGCTCCTATTCTCTGCTTCTTCCCACCAACGAGGTGCTCACTCTCACCTACAATGTGACGGGTGACCTGGGCTTCCAGTACTCCCTGGTGCTGACCCCTGTCGGCTCCGCCACTCCCAAGAATCCAGAATGAATGCGTGTGAGAGAGAGAATTCATTGTTATTATCATTGCTATCTCTTATGGATGGCATGCATTATTCGACATGAGTTTTGTGAAGTGATATTAATGTTGGCGAGAATGTGTGTTACGTTCACTGTGCATAAGAACACTTAACACTTACCAGTAAATGTACTGACGACCCAGTCATGTTGTTGACCTGTGCGACGGTCCTGGCTGACTCTCGCACCTCACACACACACACGAACACATACACAGATACACTAATGCACATTCACACAAGTGCACATTCACACTCACAAGCACACTTATACTTCTGTTATTCTGTTCTGTCATGTTTTCCTCGTGGCCTGGTGCCTCGTTTCGCCCATTTTTACATATATATAAATATCAAATAAATATCAACTATGTTTTCTTTTCCCATCCTGTATAATTCATGATTAACATAATAATTGTTTATAGTTATCTCACACAAGTGCAAATAACTGTCAATTTTATAAATACTGTCATAATAATCTTACGTGAACTGAAATGGTTATAATCATAACCATAATTTTTAAAGGGGCGGACTGGTAAGCCAGTTGAAGGCCTCAGTCAGATGACCAAAAGCTCCAGCTGCGGGTCATCATATGACTAAGACCCGCACACGTACGTGATACATAGCAATGGTTTAATTATCTGAGGGTACTAATATTCATGGATTCCAGGTAAAAGAAAGACAGTTGAAAGGTGGGCTTTGATATTACGCCATATGAACGGGAGCCAAAATACATAGCCTAACTTTTAGTCCATAAATACGTAGCCTAGCTCTTGACTTACAAATACGTAGCCTAATTCTTGGTTCATAAATACGTAACCTAGCTCTTGACTTACAAATACGTTGCCTAATTCTTGGTTCATAAATACGTAGCCTAGCTCTTGATTTACAAATACGTAGCCTAATTCTTGGTTCATAAATATGTAGCCTAACTCTTGACTTACAAATACGTAGCCTAATTCTTGGTTCATAAATACGTAGCCTAACTCTTGACTTACAAATACGTAGCCTAATTCTTGGTTCATAAATACGTAGCCTAGCTCTTGACTTACAAATACGTAGCCTAATTCTTGGTTCATAAATATGTAGCCTAACTCTTGTTTTACACATACGTAGCCTAATTCTTGGTTCATAAATATTAACTAAGTCAACTTTCATACAAAGAATGAACGTGCTTAATAATTTTCTGAGTTGCTGAAGATCACACACTAGACTGATGCTGATCCACTCAGAGAGTCACTTCAGTCTGAAAAACTATCTCTTTGGCTGAAATTAGGAAGAGTAAGAATTAAAAAGAGTTTAGTCTCTCATAGTAGCTTGGTTCAGTCTAGAGTACAAGACTTTATTGAATCCTGGAGACGTAATGACACTAGCAGATCAAGCACTGCAGTCCATCCCTTCAGGGTAGGTTCATGCTGGTGAGGGGCTCTCTTGTTCCAAGGAATTAGACCTTACCTTCCCTTCCTTGGACCGAACCTGATTATCTCCCATGCATCCCCAGGCGCTGTATGACCCATGTGCGTTTACCGCTCCCCCTTGACCTGGAGTAACCTGCAATAATAATAATATTGAACCATTAGGGTCCAAAACACTTGCCTAACATTCTGGTACCTACTTACTGCCAACACTTTGGTACCTTCTTACTGCTAACACTTAGGTTCCTACTTACTGCCAACACTTTGGTACCTTCTTACTGCCAACACTGGTACCTGCTTACTGCCAACACTTTGGTACCTTCTTACTGCTAACACTTTGGTACCTACTTACTGCCAACACTTTGGTACCTACTTACTGCCAACACTTTGGTACTTACTTACTGCCAACACTTTGGTACCTACTTACTGCCAACACTCTGGTACCTTCTTACTGCTTACACTTTGGTACCTACTTACTGCTAACACTTTGGTACCTACTTACTGCTAACTCTTTGGTACCTTCTTACTGCTAGATGAACAGAAACTGGTTTTAAAGTAACATGTTCGAGTCTCCACCCGTCAAAGGATCGAGCCCGGGAATTCGGTTGTAAGCCGAAGGCCGTATCATGGAGCCAGGATCCATTAATAAAAACATTTATAATTTTCTGGGACTTCTGAAGTGAATTTAAGTGCGTATAAGTCCACTCGAGAAATCGCAATCGCATGATTGCAAACAAATCAATGGAAGAGGTGGGATTCGAACCCTTGGCAAGTGAGTCTTAAAACTCACTGAAGTGACCAGTGAGTTTTAGGACTTACGTGACATGAGTTCAAACCCCACCCGTTCCGTGATTAGTAAACACTCCTATTAGTAAACACACTCCCATATATTTGTACAGGTATATTGTTTTAGCTGTATTAAATATATTTAGATGTGCAGTAATTGCAAACGAGTGATAAAAGATGCACAATAACAACTCCCCCTGTGGTTATTTTGCTTATTTAGGTATGTTTATATAGGGAGTATTAACACTACTGAACATTAACGATCTCCAGCGATCGGTAGTCAGCTTGTTCACCCGGGTCTAATCGCCGCTAGGTAACCTGATTGGTTCGTCACAAACTCGCACAAGGTTATAAATGGTTGGATATTAGCGCTCACAAGGCGAGGAAGAAGGTTGTAGGGAGGCAAGGGAAGTCACTCTTATGTTGCTGTGTCATCTGGTTGTGCTTCTCTTGTCTCTGTCGCTGTCCTGCGTTCTAACCTCTGTCGGCAGTCCTGGGTTCTAACCTCTGTTGGTGGTCCTGGGTTCTAACGTCTCTGTCAGTGGTCCTAGGTTCCGACATCTCTGTTGGTGGACCTGGGTTCTGACGTCTCTTGTCGGTGGTCCTGGGTTTTGACGTCTCTGTCGGTGGTCCAGGGTTCTAACGTCTGTCGATAGTCCTGGGTCATATCTCCATCGTCTTTCTTGGATGTTGCTGTCTCCCTCGATATTCTGGCTCTTCAGTCCTGAAGGCCATGAGCCATCAGGACTGAAGAGCAGGCGTGTTGTAGTATCGGTGAGATAAAAAAAAAATTTAATTAGTTAGACCGTACCTGACTATTACGCATTTAACTAGCACAGAACTCTTGTGGTTAACGCACTGGGAGTGAAAGTTAGGACTTGCTTGCTGAGGGTTCAAGCACCATAGGGTTTAGCGCTTCGCTATGATTATAATAATCAAGCCCCAACCGTTCCTTGATTTGTTTGCAATCGTGTTATTACAATTTCAATTTATGACGGCGCGGCTTTGAAGGAATTTGAGATAGAGCACGACACAGCCACGCTGGTGTGGAATTCACCTGTAAATTCCTGCATTTGTAGTCACAGTTGAACCAGTGCTAACCTCCCTGTGATGTACAGAAATATACCTAGTAGGATGAAACTTACTTGAGCCAATTGGCTGAGCGGTTAACGCCTTTGAGTTTTGGAACTCACTTGCCATGAGTTCAAGCCCCAACCGTTTTGTGATTTCTAAGGCACAAAGATGTTTGCGTCTGTTATTGTATTATGTAGATTTAGTTTGGGGTAGAGAAGCTGTACGACCCTTACGGGTTTAGCGCTTGGTTATTATAATAATAACGGGATGGAGAAGAAATGAACTTAGATTAGTAACAGGGAGGGCTAGTAATTCAGGGTAACAAATGAAGTCACTATGTCTGGTTTACTTCCATTGCGTCCTTGGATCCTCTTCCCCAAGATGCGACCCAGAGGCGACTAACACCCAGGTTCCCACTGATACTTGATTGGGGGAAACGGGTGTATGGAAACAAGCATAACGTTTCCATTTCTGCTGTGTTTATATAGTTCATTACCACTGTAACTTGCTTAGATATCAAAATTTTTAAATCCCGGTCCCTGAATCTATTATGCGCTTCTTTAATCCTTCGATACCGTCCATAGGATAGGTATGGGGAGCATAATGAAACTATTTACCTAAGAAGGACCCGGTGTCCCATAGCTCGATTCCTAGCGCGTTCAGCTCACACACTGAGATCCGTGGTTCGATTCTGGGTACAGGTAGAAACATTAGAACGTGTTTCCTTAAGACAGCTGCTGTCTTTGTTTACTTACTAGCAAAATAGGTACCTTGGTGTTAGTGGACTGGTGTGGGTCGCATCCTGGGGAAAAATTTACCTAATTTGCCCGTAACGTTCTGCATAACAAATGATAACCACTGTTTAAACCTAAAAGATGAATGATCACGTTTACTCTGATCTAAACCTCCATAATCTGACACACAATCAAAACTTATTGGAAACTGCCTTTATTACACAGCATCACAAGCCAGCACTGTCCTGAACACTGCTAAAAGTCTATCAGTTCTTAACTACAACATCAGGTCCTTAAGCAAACACTATGATGACCTCCTGGCACTCCTTGAGTCACTAAAGACACCCTTCTCCTGCATTATTCTTACTGAGACCTGGCTTAAGCAGGACACAATAGATATCTACCCACTACCAGGATACACAGCAATCCACAACTGCAGACCATACCAAGTTGGGGATGGCATTGCAATCTATTACTCTAACCAACTATCTTGTATTAGCACCAACTGCTTTAGTGATGAATATGGGGAATACATTTTTGCCAATTTTACTGTAAAAAACCTCAAGACACCGATAAGAATCGGTTCCATTTACCGGATACCCCACACAAACCTCCCAAACTTCAGTGAGAATCTCAAGGCACTAATAACAAACAGACAAATGAACAAGCACCACCTTCTCTTAGATGGAGACTTCAATATCAACCTTGGCTTACCAGATGATCAGACTGTAACTGATTTCATCAACAATATGAACAACACACTTCTCATACCAACAATAACTAAACCAACCAGGCTCACTGAAACAAGTGCAACCATAATAGACCACATATGGACCAATATACTAGCCCCCCTTAAATCAGGGATAATCACAGACAGCACTACTGACCACTACCCAACCTTCCTCTTAACAAACATTAGTAAGCCACCACTCGAATACAACAAAGTTTCTTTTAGACTCCATGACGAGGCCTCAATAAGGAATTTCACAGCAGACCTAGAGACTGTTGACTGGCCTACAGAATTCTCCAGTGCCAATGGTATTGACAGCTGGACAGACATTTTTCTTAACAAAATACTTAGACTATACATCAAACATTGTCCCATAAAAACGAAACAGATCACGAATAAACGGCTCGGTTGCCCATGGCTAACCAGCAGCGTTCTGAAATCCATTGATAAGAAACACCAATATGAAAAGCAATATAGACAGGGCTTAATACACAAAGATATTCTTAAACACTATTCATCAGTTCTCACCAAAGTATTAAAGAAAGCCAAACAACTGTACTACTACAGCAGATTCATTGACACAAGAGA